ACAAAAAACAAAAAAACAAACAAAAGAAAAACAAAATGGTGTAGAAGCTGATACATTGATGACGTTATGTTGGAAAGCTCCCTGGAGTCTGACATTTGGAGGTCTTTCAACTTCAAGTGAGGTAGAGAGGCTTGTCCCGAGGTCCCATACCGCTGCTGGGAAAGAAGAAACCGTATTAATGTATGTCTTTACACATGTGAATGCAATGATGTTCTGACTAAAAGCATTTCTGTTTATCCTTCATTTTCAAAAGGAAACCCTTGTTTAAGGAAGGCCTGGCTAGAAAAGCAGCTCTAAAACGAACACAAATGCTGTCAGCAAACAACAGACAATCAATCAGTATGAAGAAAAATAGAAAAGTCAGAATTTGCAGATCACTTGCTGCCTGAAATGTCAAATACAAAGTCTGTTCTCCAGTTATCTTTACTGACACACTGAAAATAATTCAGTACCCTCCAAAACTCCAAACCACAATGATCTGACACTGAGGGAGAAGGTTTTAAGCACAGACTCAATCTACTTCAAAGAGCATCAAACATGATTTGACCCAGGCGTGATCCCATTTGACATACAGATGAATCAGCTCTAAATACAGCAGATACTGACTTTCAGCTCAGGCGCCTCTCGGAATAGCAACACCAAGTTTCAGGTGTGAGATAAAACAACATTCCTCTTGTACCTGCTTGGATAGCTTGATTCAATAAGGCAACGTGTGCTGAGCGAAACACAGGGAAACTTAATTGGATGTCACACTTTTTCTGAGCTCAGTAATAGCATTGTTCTACTGCTGCATTACTCATTTCAATTTCAAGGAGATGCTTTGCTTTAGCAGGGAAATCGCAGTTTATGATTAATACTGTCTGAGAGTCTCTGAGTGTGAAAGTGAAGTGTTTTAGCGCAACTCATTTGGAAAATGAGTAACTGTCAGACAACTACTTACTATTCTCAACAGTCAAATGTCCCAGGATGGATTTACAGAGGTGAAGACATTTTTTTTAGCCATCATGGCTTTGACACATTCATGATTACCATAAAATAATATGGTGACTGATGTGATGAGCTCACCCGCAGTGGTTGGGTCCACAGTCCCTGTTGCAGTACTCGCCCTCCCAGTCAGGGTTCTGGCCGTGCACTGGGTTCGGGGCCCCTGGAGACTGTGAGCCCCCGACACTGTTCTGGTAATCAGCCTGGATATGGGAAAATCCCTGTAGATCGAAGAACAGTAGAGGAGAGAGAAAAATCTTTGAGATGGCCTGCCATTAAGAGTTTGCTGAGCCATGATAATGTATAAGGCCAATTGTTGCCAGTGGTCTTTATCAGTTGCTCCTGAGCTCAGTGAGTGGGAAAATGGAATATCACTTTTGTCCCTTTCCATTTCCTCTCATCGCTTGTTAAAAAGGTCCTCATGATCACACTTCTTGACAGCCGACATGACAACCCCCTGCTGGATTGGAGACACTGTAGGCTCAGAAGGAAAGGAGAAAATAGTCTGTTTCCCACTAAATGGGTGAAAAAGGTAATGTTTTTAAAAATATTTTTGGAGATTGTGCTTTGCTTTTTTTTTCATTTATAAGCTAAAAGCATGATTGAGGCCTGTTATACAAAACTACATTGAATTGAGAGTTATGCCATTTGGAAAACAGGAGCAACTGATGACAGTTATATGTATATATAGATAGAAAAACATTAAAGCATCATGTGACACAGGCAACAATATCTGTACAGTCTGGTGATAAGATGAGAAGCTTTAGCAAATGTATGTGTGTCATTATATTCATGTTTCACAGATTTTAATAATGACCAGACCGACCTGTTGGCTGAGAGGAGGGGAATGCAAAGGCGCCTGGAGCCCCATTTGGTGTGAGATGATTGGCTGTGACTGCTGCATGCGGATTGGCTGGTTGAGCAGGGAGCTCTGATGCAGGGAGAGCTGGGCGTGGGGGTGCAGAGGTGGGCTGATCTGGAAGGGAGCTGGGGGAGAGGCACTCATGCTGGGCGGCAGCATCTGGGATTGGCTGAGGGTCGGGGCCAAGGTGTGGCGGGGTGGCCCGGCATAGCTCTGGAGGTCCGACAGTGGGAAGGAGCCCGGCGGGCCCAGGTAGGGTGAGGAGGGCTGGGGGGGCACGCTGTACAGGGGCTGCTTCGGGGGCAGCAGGTGGGAGGGCTGGCTGGTCTGCTGGGCACTTTTTGGTTCAGGGTCATTGTAAGTCTGTGGACGAATAAAACAGAATTTTTCTATTAATGACACGTAACCTGGAACCTGAAACCCTCAGCTCATCACAATAACACACCATTCATCAAGATCACAACACAGCCGCTGCCTCGTTTTTTTAATAATAGCATCCATTACACTTAAAGCAAAACTTCAGCCCTGACCTGTGTCTTAAAGGGAAATCCAGTCATTTGTCAACCTTGGTCTTATTATAAAACATGTAAGTCAGCCAAGTTAAAAGGAAGTGGATTGTTACACTACATTGTTTGCTAAACCAGTTGCAGCGATTTTTAAGTTTTTGTTGAACTCACAGACAAGGTTTTAAAGGAATAGTTGAAATGCAATTATTTTCTTTCTTGCAGAGAGATGAACACTGACAGGGCTAGCTGTTTGCCCTTGTTTCCATTTGTTATGCTAAGCTAAGCTAACCCTCTCTTGGCTTCAGATTAATAATAAACAGACAGATGTGAGAGGGATCGATCTTCTCATGTATAAGTGAATGAGTATGGCCAAGATAGTATATCTCCCAAAATGCTCACCTGTTCCTTTAAAATTATGTTAAAATTACAGAAGTTGTTTTAAAAGCTTGCACGCCTACTGCCTAAATCTCCCTAACAGAAGTTATCTTGATGAAAAGTCATAACTGGCAAATATTTGAGAATATCACCGATGTTGATAAATATTGGAATTTCCCTTCAAAACTTTCCTCGCTGCCTTCTCAGTCTCGATTCTGCCTAAATTCTGCTTTACTTAAGAGCTGCTTGTTTCTTGCTGTCCGATACAGTTTTCACAGGACAGTTAACACTCAAAGCTCCTAACAGTATATATTTAATATTTGGCCTGACAGCTTTCACTATTTATTTTCCACTAGTTCACACACTGACTGATGTGGTTGAGAAAGGATGCAGTGCTTTAAAGGGCAAAACACCAAAAATCACCCAAACTCATTTTGGACAGTTTCACTCTGAGCAGGTGCAGCACCCACAAAATACCCCACCTCCCTCTCCACCCAGCCCCACCCTCTCCAGGCCCCTATGATGAGCTGTCAGATTGCTCATCTCCAGCCATCAGTGTTGATTAGAAGGTAATGGAGCCCATTTGTATGAATAGAGCCTGGGCCGAGGTAATGATCAATAGACACCTTGACAGATAGATGGGAAAAGGAGAGGGACACACACCCACACACACCCACACATTCACACTCACACATATATGCAGGAACCCAGGCAGAGAAATGAGGCTGTTTGCCTGCAGAACAAATGGAATGACAAAAGGAATCTTCCCCACACTACATTGTGTGTTGTTAATACAAGACGGCACTAAACAATGCAATCCACAGCCCTCCTCCTTGCCTTGTGCTACTATGCTGCTGTATACAAGACGCCATCATTCACTGGGCGAAGGGGATGTCATAGATCTGAATTAGCAGGAAGGTGTCAGAGGTGGAAACAGCGGCAAAGCCTATGATTGCTTGCGTTGATTTGGAAGTACTTCCGGTTGTAGATGATGAGATGGAGGAAATCGATGATCTAATGCATGACACAGGTGTCTGCTGGTGAGGGATAAATTTAGGGTTTGTATTCTCTAAAGATAAATATAAAACAGACGTCAGCCTGAGATCTTGTATAGCACATGAGAGCGCAATCATTTTCCATCCTCCATCCCTAATAGATGTTATGGCCATATGCTTGTGCGCTCCGATTGGCTGACCCCTCCCCCAACTATATCACCATAACAACTACAATCCCCAACCCCCAACATCTGCACCCTATGGAAATCAGGTATTGTTCCAAATAAGGCTTGCTGTTTTTGCATCAGATGCCCCCACTCACTCCACCACCACCACCACCTTATCCCAAGGAAGCCCCGCCCAGCCCATTAGCAAGGATTTTCCATCCAATCCATCAACAGTCTAAGCCAGGGCCTGTGTGTCATAAGTGTTACCTTGGAAACCAGACTGGCTCGGTACGCGGCCAAGGCTTTCAGGTACTCTTTCTTAGCCGCCTCGGTTTTCCTCTTGTACCCCTGTGAAGAAAAAAAACCAACAACAAATCAAAACAAGAAGCTTTGGGTGAGAGGAGAGGTTGACATGCTCCTAAATGTGCAGACACACATATCTGTCTTTCAATACACACACACACACA